TTTTGCCCTCTGCTACATCACGTTGTAGCAAGAATACAACCACCAGAAGTGAGTAGATGGTTGTGCTCTATTCATGCAGCTCCTGGACTCCAGCAGAACAGTGAGCCTATTATACTTCTTTATAAAACCTTAACCTCAGGTATTTTGTTTCAGTGCAGAAAATTGGCTAAAGTAACTATTCAGAATTTGATAGTATGTCTTTGGTCCTAGGGCCAACTATTATGTGATACTGGAGTAATCTAACTTATATTCAAACTTTATTTATTTATTTATTTATTTATTTATTTATTTATTTATTGAGATGGGGTCTTGATACGTTGTTCAGGCTAGGTTTGAACTCACTGTATGACCCAAGGTGGCCTTGAATTTGCTGTGATCCTCCTTCTTGGTCTGCCTGAGTGGTGGGGTCAAGGAATATGCCTCCACACCCAGCTCAAACTTTTTTTTAAGGTACTTGGAATTGAACAAAGGACCTTGCACTAACTAGGCAAGTGTTATACTACTAAGCTTCATCCCCACCTCCATGGTCTTGCTAAATTGCACATTCTGGCTTCAACTTTAGGCTCATTTTCCCTGGAAATGCTTAGGGTCTTGGTGACTAAAATGTGAATGGTCAGCAGCATCAGTATTACCCGACAATTTGTTATAAATGCAACTTCTCAGGTCTCAACCCAAGCCTCACAAGTCAAACATTTTTATTTTTTATTTTTATATTTTAATAATTTTATTGAGAAAGAAGTAGCAATGAGATAGTTCCAAAACAAGTTAGTAGTGCAGTTACAATAATTAATACATTGCACATCGTTGTCTTTGTAGTAGCTATTCCTAGTACAAGATGCAGACATGATATCTTGTCTAACCACTATTCGTTCAAAACCTTCTTCTCATTGAACTAAGAGAAAGTAGCTGTATATTTATGCTATTGTGTATACACAGGTATATATTTTTTCCATTACAAAATGGTCCATTTATATCCCCTTTTTTGTTTACTTTTGTCAGAGATGTGTATTCCATTGCCATTCATATATTGTAGGTGCATGAATTCAGCAAAGTAATCCAAAACAGTCCAGTACTCTATAATACTAGTGGGTTATCTGCAAGACTGGCAATGTCAGAAGTTGTTGACTTCAGCTTTTCACAGCTCAGCATATTAATATGGCTTTACTCTTTATATCTCGATTTTATACTTTTCTGCTGGATGGTTAAGACCAAGATAAAGCAAGACCTATATAACAAAATATGTTATTTTTGTATCTGACAAGGTCAGTCAAATCCCCTCAGGACTTACCCTGAAACCCTGTGGGATGACCATTCTTAGATAGTTTTTTTTTTTTTAATTTGGATTTTCAAATACCAAGAGTTTAAAACTCAAAAAGAATTTTTTTTACAGTTGTGTCTCATAAGAGAAGCAAAACCTGCTGTACTTAAGAATTTCATCTGCATAACATTTTGCTGGGTAGGTGAGTCTTCTGGGAATGATACCTTATTTTTCTAGTCTCATAGGGGATGGCAGGTATGTGATGTTATTTTAGCTCACTTCCAGAGAGGACAGCATTATATTGTACAGAACCTATATGTCTCACAACACCAAACGATATAAAATTTGAATTTTCCTTTACATTTCCATGGGTAGATTAAGCTCTCAAAAGAAAACTTCTTCCAAACTTTATGAAACATATACATAATCATACGCTGTGCAGATTACACTTACCCTGAGGGTATGATTTGGAAGTACACAAATGATACTCTACTATTAACATTTACACAGAAATATGCATATCGAAAAACAATACTTTTATGAAGAATACAATAGACTGAAGTGAATAAAAGGAAATTAACTGCACAAAATTATTTCCTGCCTAAACGGGAGTGAGAGGGTTGCTTTTTAGGAAGGCTTAGCCAATGTAATTCCTATCATCTGTGAAAATGTAAACATGATTTGGAGCACAACAGTAATGCTTAGAATTGTTTAATGCATGTAGTGAAAATAATTTCACTCTATATAAATGTCTTAATCTAATCACCACCTGAGGAGAAAAAGAAGTACAAACAAATTGCCATACATTTTGGGGCTGTAACATAAATAAGACAAAATATATTCACCATGGTTTTATGATGTGCTTTCAATTATACCTGGACTCTTCTCAAATCCACTGCAGCAAGATACTGAAAGCATTTAATGAGAAACATAAAACACATGTAGATAAGGTAGCAAAATATATGTGTATTCAGAGGCACTAAGAAATACCTCAGTTATCATCCATATAATGTAGACATCTTGTCAGGGTTTTATTCCCAAGTGGTTGTAGTAATTTTTCTGTTTCCTCTAAAATAAACTAGTTTATCATCAGGAGATTCATGAGGCTTGGATACAGCGGTTACAGTGCTGCTCTTAGTTTTGTCCAATAAAAAAAAATGCCTGTTTCATAGGAATGTAAATCACATTGCCTAACCAAAATATGAGTCTCAACTGATTAGAGCTTCAGGGAAATACATTTGCTCTTCTATCATTTTTTAAGACATGATTTTTTTAACCTGATTTGACCAGCAAAAGGTCAGAGACTATAGAGAATTGTGTTACAGAGGATCACTAGTTGTTTTACAGTACCTGTGACTAGAGCTTGTATGCTATAAGACTTAAGATCATCTAGATATGTGATCATGGCATACCCAGCTTCTCATTAGGCCCGATAAGCTCTTCTCTCCTTTTGCTCCCTTCCAGCTATGCTTTCAATTACTGTTTTCTCTAAATCATTCAGGAATCCTCAGAATGTTACAGGATGGGATAGGGACCAGCAGTGCTTTTTAGATTATTATTTGTCCTGATTAATGATTTGTTCAGGAGAATTGGTGGATGTAAAATATTACTGCTTATCTTAGGGCTAAAATAAAATGAAAAGAAAAAGGAAAGGAAGCACAAAAGAATTGCTCAGGAAGAAGTGTGTGCTTTGAATTTAAAAAAAAAAAGGGACAGCAAAAAGATACCTCCAGCGAACAGAAGGGACCACTGTAAGAATAAGAGACCAATGGCCCAGAAGTCAATTGCCACCATCTTTTCTCATCCTCTTTGAGAGTTGATCCAGGTTGTTGCCTTTGATCTCATGCTACAAGATGGGTATCAGGTGCCAGGTTTGGCATATTCTTATGGTAGAAGGCTGGTACCAGAAGCAGATCTTGGCTTGATCATGCTCAGGTGCTGTGCTCTGGGCACATGGTTATTAAGTCTCCTCAGCTGGCAGCTTGTACCAAGTTGCTCCAGCCATGTTACTGTGTTCTGGCCTCCTACTACAGGAGGACCATTAACAGATTATCAGGCAGCCTAGAGTGGCTGCTCAAGGACAGAAAATTCACTGGCTCTTTTCAGCACCTGGAAAGCAGTAGACAGACCACTACCACTGAGTGCCTTGGGGTGACTTCTTCACAGCAAAATGCACAGGACCATAATGTAGTCATTCATGGATCAGGGTGTGGTCTCTCTTCAGCCTCTGCAGTTCCCGTGGTGTTTTCTTCCCAGCTGGAGCACTGCTGCATGTATGTACGGTATTCACCTCGTCTAACAATTATGAACTCTTGGCCAGATCTATTCATATGATACTGTTAGATGGTAATTTATTTCCAGAAAATTTGCTTTAGTACTATGTAATTTTCAATATATTCATTTAATAAATATTTATATGTCATTTTTTCTAATTACTGAGCATACTTGAGTAAACAAAGCAGACAAAAATCCCCACCCTCAAGATATAATTTTCAAGTTTACATTTTCATAATAACAGTCCCCAGCTGATAAAACTACCTTGTTTGGTTCCCATTCCCTTTATCCTTTATCTGTACATTCAAGTCAGAGATAGCAATTAGAAATAACATTTGGGAACTACGTATTTTGTGTTTGGTGGTGTGCTAACTCTTTATAGTCAGCTCCTGAGATCCTACAATAGCTAGGAGGTACTGTCAAGATGACTATTTCACAGTCCAGGAAAGTGAGGGTCAGAGAGATTAGCTAAGGGAGGAGATAGATTAGCGGCCCACTGGCTCTTAAAAACCAAGATGCCTTCCGCATATCTGGTGAACAGGTAAGTGGATGAATGTGTCCTCTTTTACGAATTTTCCCTAATTTAACAAAAACACTAACCCCTTTGATTATTCATTTTATGGGTAGGGGAGTGGACAGGATGTGGGGAGGGAAGTGGGAAGGTGGCAGGGAGTTGGTGTTTTCTGAGTGAATTAGGCCCATGATCTTAGGATGCGCTGGAGCAGAGCACAGTTGCTTTACCTGGTGGGAGAGTCACGTTCCAATGCCATTTCTCTTTACCCTGGTGCCTCAAACTGGACTGTTAGAGATTCAAACGGAGCAGCAGTGTGCCAGAGGAACTCGCCCTGAGTCCCAGGAGTCAAGAGACTTGGCTGGAAGGGCACTGGCTGCCCTAAAAAAATGGTGTCAAATAGGGTACCACCTGCCCTCATTGTCAGTGTGAGGAAGTGCTGTAAAATCATATGATTTGGAGTCAGAGCTAGTGGCACAAGCCTATGACCCCTGCACTTGGGGAGGCAAGTTTGAACCCACAAAGGTCAATTTAGCGAGACCCTGTCTCAAAACAAAATTGAAAAATAGGCAGAGGAGGTAGCACTGTGTGAAGGCCCTCAGTTCAATCCTCAGTATAGCAAAAATAAAACAAAACACACATTACATACGGTTTAGACAAATGGAAAACATCATTGTCTGGAGTAAAACTGTAATGGTCGTGTTAATGGAAATGATTCACTGCCCTCTGTCCCTCACAGTATGATTCAGGTTTGCACTTTCAGGACACATTTCATTCTATCCTTTCCTGGTCCCCCTTTCCTGCCACTTTTTCCACCGGCCGTGTGCGCACGCGCAGAGAGACAGTTCCAGCTGTGTCCAGCAGAGGGGGAGGCATCGATCTAATTGGCGTTCGGCTTCTCGACTTCCTGGCGCTCGATTAAGGAGCTTGGGAGCGTTACTTCCGGTACCTATTCCATTTCCGTCTCGCCATTCTTCCGAAGGCGGCGTGAACCGGGGCTGCTTTGGAGCGCTGTGTTCCTCACGGCTGGGGTTCCTGGGGCTGCAGAGCTCAGGGCAGACTGGACGCAAAGGTAGAGTCGGGTCGGACCTGTGCGGCCCGGGTCCGCTCGAGGGCGGGGAGTCGGTGGAGTCTGGCGTGCTGGCCCTGCGAGGCGCGCGAACTTTTTTGGGACAGCCCTTTAGCTTCCGGCCAGGGAGCTTGAGTTTACGAAGTCAAAGGATGATTAAGATCCCTCTGCTCGTGTGAGCTTGACCGCTCGCTTCGCTTTCGGGTGCCCTGCAGCGGCTCCCTTTTTAATGTTAGGGTAGCGGTATCTCCAGGTGGCCCCGACTTCCTTGCAGCCCGCGGCCTCCCCAAGCTCCACCCTCGGATCTGTCTCTTCCTTCGAGTTGTCTGCTTGGTGACCCCAACCCTCCTCCGGGTTTCAACTTAGGAGTTTACAAGCCTTCAGGAAGCACTACCTTTCGTGACCCTCAGACAAGCACAGACCCTGTTAGTAGGCTGTCACCTAGTCAGTCATCTTGTGCTGTTCACGTAGTGAGTGCATGGAAAGTATTTGTGAGCCAGAGAAATACTTGAGGCACCAAAGAATGAGCAAACTCCAACGATTTGCAGCAAGGAGGTGTAAAATGTGAAAGGTTCAATGTGAATATGAATTCATAGCAGTGTAAAATATGCAACGTATTGTAGTGAGTGTGAGGGAAATGTTAAGGAGAAAATTCGAGGGCTGCTGTCAAGGTCCAGTGCATATTGGCGGTGTCCTTTCAAGGTCCCCTAACTTGTACTGACCATTCATCATAGCTACCTTATCGCGCAAGAACTCATGAATTTTCTGAGTTATCCTGGGTAGGTGCTGGTTACTGTTCCCTCGAGGACTGAGATATTGAGGAACTGGCCTTAAGTGAGGTGACTTGTAAGAAGCGTAGACAGTTTCATTTCAGATCTGGTTGGCACTACAATCCGAGCTCCTAACCGTCACACAGTCTTGGTGATGTTATATAAAATTAGGACTGAAAGTTTTTGGTAGCAGTACCCTTGACGTGCCCTGAAGGAGTACCCGTGAAGTGCTCTGTACAAATGGAAAGACGGTGTCATTTGTCACAGCTGGAAGGCAGGTATAAAGGTATTTATTACCTCGGATGTATTGGTATTAGTAAAATCTGTCTATGTGTTGGTTGGTGTTCTACCTAGTTTTGAGCCTGAGATCTAAAAATGAAGGCTGCTATGGAGGAATTAAAGTTACTGTCACGTGATGCTTTCTGACATTTGAGATTGAAAGAATTTTGAAAAATTAGTGTGATGTCTTTATGCTGTATTCCAGTATAATGTAACCCTTGTTAATAACAGCTTATTTATTGTCTATTTAGGTTATTTGAAGCAAATCATCTTATATTTCGTGGCAACATACAGTTTCTGTGACTAAAACATGGATATCAGACCAAATCATACAATTTATATCAACAATATGAATGACAAAATTAAAAAAGAAGGTACATACTTTTTAAAATATTTGTTCAGAGCTGAATTGTTTTTATGCTCTGTAAAGAGTTATACTACTCCACAACTTATGTGGCTATCCCTTTCATTCCATTTGGTATAAGGATTTTAAAGCTTTTTAAAAATAAGAGTAAGTAGGGACTGACCTGTTTTTTTCTCATAATGACTTCAAATGACTTAATGGGAATGGTATGTGTTTTTATTAAAACAACTATAAATGAATGGTGGGAAACATTCAGTGTGTTGTCATTTTGTGAAGAGTTTTGTCATTATTTCATGCTTAGGTATCTTATTTTCCCTCTGAACAGAATTGAAGCGATCCCTGTATGCGCTGTTTTCTCAGTTTGGGCATGTGGTAGATATTGTGGCTTTAAAGACGATGAAGATGCGAGGCCAGGCCTTTGTTATATTTAAAGAACTGGGCTCATCCACAAATGCCTTAAGACAGTTGCAAGGATTCCCATTTTATGGTAAACCAATGGTGAGTTAATCCTGTTATGTTTGCTTTAATTACTATTAACGTGTAGTAGATTTGTAAATAGGGACTGTATTACTTTCTGCTTCTAACTGTGTATCAGGAAAAAATGAATGTATTCTTAGAGAAATATACTAACAAAATTGAATGCATTTTTAGTTTCTGCCATCTTAAGGGGCAGAACCAAAGTATATTGAGACATACAGTATTTTTAAAATAATGATGGCAGCATGTGATACTCTTATCTTTTTTAAAAAAAGTAGAAGTTAATGATGTAGAACATGAACGGAGAAACTTTATATAGAGCTTTGTAAACTTATCAAACAACATGAAAATTAAAAATCCTGGGTTGAGAAGCAAATCCTGCCTGAAGTTTTTGCAAACACTTTGGGGAAGTATGGCATAACAGAAGCTATGCAGTGTAGGTAAAACGATGATCTAAGGTAAATTAAGCTTAATGTACTTAATGTACCTTGAATGGAAATGAATTAGATATACACGAGGTTTAAACTCCACATGTAGCTGCTGCCAGAAGCAAGGTAGGGAGATGAGTTAGAGGCCTTGGCATAAGTCAGAGGTGGCAAAGGACTGCCTAAGGGAGGGGCCGTGCACACTCAGGGTTCTACTTCGTGAGTATGCACTTTGCTAAGGGATTCCAAACTGCTTGTCTTTCGGGACTGGAATATGGGGTGAAGCACGCTTAGAGCTAAAGCCCAGGATTTAGAGGCTCTGTGGCCTCCTCACTCTGACCCCACTGATGGGATCTGTGCCTGTGCTGTTTGATCACCTCTAAGTCGTCAGCAAGTTGGAGGGTCATTGAGCCAGTTCAGCCATCAGCACAAACTCTAAAGGACAAGGGGAGAACTGTTTTAGGCTTCATAGGCTACGTGTAATTGCTGTTTATGTATTTTGTGTGAGTATTTTTTCACAACTTTTACAGTTGTATTTAAAAATTTTCTTAACTTGAAGGCCATACAAAAATAGGTCACAGGCTGGATTTGGCCTTGAAGTTGTAGTGCAGACCATTGGTCTAATGTTTTTATTTCAGTCATAAAGCATCAGGAATCAGAAGGTTAGTTGTTCATCCAGGTTATGTTACTATAACCATTGGCACCACTGGAACTTGAAAATAGTTTCCTAGCACAGTGTTGTAAATGTTTTCCCTGTACTAGCAGTCAGGGAACTTCCTATAAAGGTACAGATAGCAAATGTAAGCTGTGCCAGGTGATCTCTATTGGAGCCACTCACTGTGCTGTCTTTAGGGCAGGAAAAGCTGCTATAGATGAGATGTAAATTAGTAGATGTGGCTGTGATTCACAAGACTTTAAAAAAAACAGGGTTTTGTACCACATTTGACCCAGAGTTTCAGTAAGTTGGAATTTCTTGAAACCGCCTGATTTTAGTAGTCTGAAGAAATAGCGTAAGTGAGATCTCAGTTGGCAGGAGTCTCCAATTGGGTTCGTGACCGTCTTGCTGAGTTGAGATGACAAGTTGACATGGGCCTGGTAACTCAGGTACAGGCGGGTGGAAAGAGCTTGCTGTGTTTGTCACCAGTCTCACCTTGCAAACCAATTCAGTAGAAAAAGCCCAGTGGCCTGATTTTATGTGGAATAAAATTCTTTGAGCTGTGTTGTTTTTATTTAATTTGTTAAGTGCTTTGTCCAGGGTCTTTACATTGAGCTGCATCTTCACTCCTTTTTATATTTTATTTTGATATGGAGTCCTGCTAAGGATATTAACCTGACCTGGCTGGGGTCAAACTTTCCATCTTCCTACCTCAGCCTCCCAGAGTGCTGGGCTTACAGACATATGCCATCACAGCCAGTTTATTTAAATGATTGTAGTTGCTCTTTTAACTCCAATGTACCAGACCATAAATGAATAAAATGTGCTCTAACTTGTAACTGATTGTGTTTAATTTAAATACCTCAGTAAAGTAAAACCATCTTTTTTTTTTAAAGGAATATATAACTTTATTGACCACTGCTCACCATTATTTACAATAAAGTAAACAACATACAGTAAAATAACATTCTGACTCCTACAAAGTTGTTTTCCTGGCTTCTGCTGAAAACAGTAACCCAAATACTGAAAAAACTGAGCCTACATGTAAGGAACAAGTTGGGGTAAAGAAAAAACATGCAGGTTAATAGTTTAGGTTTTAAGTTTGTCCACTCATTTATTCTAGGTCCTAAATTTTGAACATCTCCAGCCACTTTGGTAGGTTTCCATGAGTCAAATCTTAAGACATACATGAATCCTGACTTTTGAGTGCAGATTTCAACTTGGTGTGAAATAAGGAATCTTGGGGAATTTTTAATGTTCCCTTGTTCTTGTTAAGTCTTCCTTAGTGAATTCAAGCAAACCAAGTTTTGACTTGCTGCTTTATTCAGATGGGGCAGCTATTGGTAAAGATAAGAATCTTTTTTCTTTTTGAGACAGAGTCTCACTATGCAGTTCAGTCTGGCCTTGCACTCACTTTGTAACCCAGGCTGGTCTTGAACTCCCAAGATCCTCCTGTTTCAGCCTCCCAAGTGCTGGGATTGTAGGTATGTGCCACCATGCCCAGCTAGATAGGACTTTTTTTGTGGAGGGAATTTTGGAAGTAAATTGCATTTTTGTGATTAAGGACAGATACAGATTCTGATATGGTTGCTTTGAAAATATCTATTTTAAACTGTCCAATTAACCAAAAAAAAAAATCTAACTTAAAAGGTTATGGCTTCAGGAAAACTTTCTATTTAGCTGGAAGTGATTTTTTAGGTTGCTTATAATGATGACGTCTCAAACATGAGCTTATCACCCATAGTTTTTGTTTTGGTGAATGTTTAAAAACAACAAAAACCACTTACATAAGAATTTTATTTATATACACACAAAAACTCAGTGTGGTCCTTAAGCTAAGCGTATGAGCTAAAATATGAGTTCTGATTTGGACTATGGACAATTCTCCCCAACATTTAGAAAAGCAGAGTGAAGGTATCAGGCTAC